GAAATATTTGTCAGAAAGTCGTCTATCCACCACCACGCACCGAACCGAATAAAAAAACACGCTTTCCTGATCAACGAATGCAGAACATTGTTTTCGTTCTACTTTGTACTCTTCATGCATTCTAACAATTTAGTGAATACCCATTTCAACAACATTTCTTCTCCAAGAACATTGCGGCTGAAGAATAAATGAATGACTAAGCGCGCACCTATGATATTTTTCAACGATAATGTTGGATATTATGTAGAATATTCTACAAGTAATGAATAAAATATTATCAGCATATAAAATTGATTGCATTATTTGTTCTATACCCGTTAGATAGAAAGGAAGTATAAATTTTATTTTCTCGAATGTATGTCTTACTTAACATTGTTTTAAGAATTGTATTGGGTGGTTATCTACTGTTAAGATATTTTTGCGAGTTTTGGAGGTTTCAATTGTCTTTTTGTTGCATGACAAAAATAGTAAATTGATTGTCTATTGTTGTCTTAGAGATGACAGACCAGGAACTAACTTTCGAAGACAATAATTGATTTTTTGTGAGTGTTGTAAGAAAAAGAAAAGAGAAACACAGATATTAATAAGCGTTAATATTAGTGTGCTGAATGTCTGCAATTCATATGCCCTTCCAAACAATCTTTTCCGTGTTATGCACTACGTGTTACACAGCCTGGTAATGCGAGTTTATCGATCCACTAAAAAATGCATTTAATTGTATTGTTTTTGATATGTTCAACACAGAACAATAAGCAGGATTTGTTGTATGTAAAGATTTGTTAACCGAGTAATGCACATAAAACAGTGTTTTGTTGTCAAAGTATCTATATCTCTAGCATTTCGGTTTTTACTCCAATGTAATCTCCGGGATACCAAATGAAAAGAAAATAAGTTACGGTAAAAACTACAAGGCCACAGCAATATATCAACTGAACTGTCAATCTGACAAAACATATGTTTGTGTTTTTCCTGGTAAGCCTATCCTCAGCAAATATTGTAACGTGGCTGCAGATCTATAATTATGCTTGCCCATGATTTCTGTTTATCTCGCGCTCCCTTCTAAGTGCATTCTTTGGAATTATGAATAGTTTTGAGTAAATTCTTTCTGCATTTTAAGATGCAATTAACATGCTTTATTATTCGTTCTTTTATTTACATGATACTAAATACCGTATCTGTCTAGTAAACACAAAAATTGCTGTAAGATGTTTGTACATGGTACTTGTATTTATGTTGGCTATATTCTGGCTCGCTGACTCTTATGTTCAGCTCAGCACAGGTTTTGTTCAAAGCCTTCTTGCAATGAGAAAACATTCTGTACCTCTGTCGTCACCACTCTAGTAGCAGCCTAAGATTACCGATCGAATTTGTAGTGATGGCAGGTCACAATAACACGTTTGTATTTACTACACAGCCTATTTGTAGACATAAAAGGAATATGTCGGCGAAGTAGTATTGCCAACACATCATTTATAGTGTTCGATGATATTACTATTGAGTCATATTATGAGCTGAACATGGTTGTTCAAAAATTGTATTCGAAAGCATAATTTATTCCACATAGCTGTGAATGTCATTTACAAAGACAGATAGTGTCCTCTGAATGCTTTGCATTAACATGTTAATATTAACTTATAGAGAAAGTTTTGTTAATATGACTTAGAAAGACTAATTCAAGTGTTACAACACGAAAAAGCTAGCAACTGCTGCGTACACTTCATAAAAGATTGTGTTCATTGGTGCTATAAATGTACTGCAAACATATCATCTTGATATCTATCACATTTTGACTCAGTTATAAAAATGCTGTTTATGGAAAGAGTGAATATAATTTATAAATTAATTTTAAACATTCTCTTCTTTATATGATACATGAGCAAATTGGCGAAAGAAAACCAGTGAGTACTATCCTATCGGTTTTTTATTCTACTGTTGATTTTTGATACTATTTTGCTGCTACCTTGTAATTTACCTGATTTGGAGAGAAGATAAAAAGAAATAAAAAAGGATTGGCGTGCAAATGTTCTTGATACTTTCATTGTGCAGCTGTGCATGTTGGAATGGCAGCTCAAACCATGACCAAAACAAGGGAACGAATGAAGCGTATATTGCACAACATAATATGTACGATAACAGTAGTATAGAAGAGTTGTGTAACATCTACCTTGGAGAAGCGGATGTGGATAAGCAAGAACTAAATTCTGTGAA